CTTGCTGCCTATTGACATGATAAATTTCACTAAGATTGGTCAACCCAATTGACACTATCGATTTTCCTTAGCTCATTAGCTCTTAAAACGGCCTTTCAGCAAGCGAAGTTAATTTATTTATATCCTCTTCAAATGACCCCCTAATTAGCAAGTAAACTACTTTGTACTTTTTCAAAAACTTTCATCTCTTGCCTTTTCATCGGCAACTATTAAATCCGAGTATAATGCGTAGGTTTGGGCGCGTGGAGGGCAGATTACATAGGAAATATAAGGAGGAGAAAGAACAAACAAGCAACAGTAGGATAGAACGTAATAGCAAGTGGAGGAGAGGAAAGGTATTATGGCCCAAGTCTCAGGGGAAGGCTTACTCCCTCACCCCACCCCCTAACTACCCCCATGCTGTCCCTTCCGTCCAGCCCTCCCTCCCAACTTGTTTTGTGTGTGTGTGTGTGTGTACGTTGTGGTGCAGCAATGAGGTGTGGGTGCGAAGAACCATAAATATTCACCTGCGCAGAAGTAGTAATTATTGCTTTGTAAGAAATTTCCCCACAGCTCCTCCGCTGTTCACTACCAGTGCCTGCCTCTTCCAAAAAGTCGGTTTTTCAAAGAAACTTTTCCACCGTGTTTGCTGATACACGCAAAGAATAACCTCAGCATCGCTATAAACTGAAATGTTAAAATAATACATTAATGTCGAATTACTTTGGGGGCATTGTTGGACAATTAGTCACTGGCGTTGCAAGAAATGAGTGCTTCTAATTACTGTCTTGAAAGAAGCATTGTTGGAAACTTTCAAAATTTTTCAGTATTTTAACATTTTAACCACCAGCTATTGTATAAAATTCGATTTACTTAAAATTGTTCGAGAAATATTGCTTTATCCATGAAAACGAATGTAATAAATAAGCTGCATTTAATGTCAGTTATTTGAAGACTTAAAAATAAATGCGAATCTTATAAGAGAGACAAAATTTTGTTCAAACCAATTGAAATTGTAGAGTGCTACCAAAAAGGACTGTTGAAGGCACCGTAATGCTCTAAACCAGTCAAATTCAAAAGGTCAAATGGCAGGCGTTTTGATAGTTATCATTAGCCCTGGAGCTGACTTCGGGGCTTCACAAAGAGGAGTAGTAGGAACATTAAAGTGACAAAAGGTCGAGATGGGAGACAGAATAATGATTCACAGAGGTAAAAGAGACAGACAGACACAAAGGCATAAAAAGGTAAGATGAGTACTGTGGAAGGGGTCGAATATGACAAATAGTCGGGCCATAGTAGTTTGAAGTCAGAAGTCAACTGCCGGTTTGATTGACTTTTTTGCCGTATAAGTATACGTTGCCCAGGGTGCACCACGTGGAGGTAAGTCTATTGCGCACCCCCTCTTGAAAATATATGCTACTGTTGTGCACTTCTTCAGAGGGCTTGCACTTTGCATCATCTCAAAAGTAGATCGTGTAAAGACCTGAGGCAACCAGAAATTGGCCATAGAGTTCCAGCTTAACATCTGTGAAATTGTGAACCCGTTGACAGATCACAAATTTTTCTCCCTTTTCTTTAAATCTTTGACTACACTTGTCAATTTTCAATTCTATGCTTCAATTGAATTCCCTCGTGGTGGGGAACTTCGATTTTATATATTAATTATGATTATGTTGAATGCTTTGTCACGGCAGGGCGCTCAAAATAAAAGACTTGCTTCACTTCCTTATCGATTTTCCATTACGATTAATGCGTGTTGGATGTTTTAACTTCCCCTCTAAAGACTGTAGAGCACAAGAACTTATGATGACTTATCATAGCAGCTTAAACGCGAAGCCTCCACTATTCAAGCATTTTAGCACTAGCTTCTACTCCTCATGACTCAAAGATTAAACCTTTCTCATTATTCAGAAGAACCCTAAGGCACTCTAATACTATTGAGGAAAATAAGCACAACGAAGGTCATGCTAACTCTTCGTGACTTACTAGGTGTCCAAACTTTATTTGATGCTACTTAGGTTTGCATATTCCGTGAGTCACAGCATCTGTTGGTGTTGCATCCAAATTAATTTCTGAAGGTGAGTCTTCTGCATTCACCGTTTCCAGAAGGAGGTCAATTCATGTCATCTGCATTGGGCTTCCGCTCAGTTTTATCGATTGATGTATGCATATCAAGCCAAACTTAGGGCCGCATGAGTTCAAACAGTAGCTAATTAACAGGACCATTATGCTCAGATCACTAGTAAACTCTATCTTCCCTTAGATACAAACGTCTGGCACAAATAATTCAACCAGTTTCAATTTTAGGCGGTGCAAACTAGGGTAATTCCTTCATTGCGTCTGTTGCGTCAAAGGTTTTCATATGTGGTGTGTGCGATAGACTTACCTCCACGTGGTGCACCCTGGGCAACATATACTCATACGCTAAAAAAGTCTATTAACTGGCAGTTGACTTCTGACTTCAAACTACCATGACCCGACTGTTTGTCATATTCGACCACTTTCACAGTTCTCCTCTTCACTCTATGCCATATTTGACTATTTTCACAGTACTCACTACCTTTTTTCTACCTTTGTGTCTGTCTCTTTTACATCTTTTAAACACTCTTTTGTTGTATGTCATATTCAACTACTTCCACAATAATCACCTCACATCTTTATGCCATATTCGACTATTTCCACAGTATTCACCTCATTTTTTCTACCTTTGTTTCTGTCTCTTTTACATCTTTGAATCACTCTTCTGTCTCCCTCTGTCTCTTTTACATCTTTGAATCACTCTTCTGTCCCCCCTCTCCACCTTTTCCCAAATTGGATGTTCCTCCTTCCCCCTGTGAAGCCCGAAGTCAGCTAAAGGGCGAATGATAAAAATCATAAAGCCCGCCATTTGAAACAAATAAATAAATTCTGTTGAACACATTTGAACTACATTACTCCCCTTTGACTGAATTCGTGCTCGTTGCTCCCCCATATGTGAGTTGTATGCTTAGATAAAAGAAGTGGCTCTAACTAGCTGAGTCCAAAAACAAAGCTCTTGTCGATGTTATGATGTAAAAGTTGAGACTATTAGTATTTGGGTCAGTTTTCTCATCTTTGATGTAGTTGTGAGTATCGCAGCTCAACCAAGACGATTGAAGGTGCTAATCATCGCCACATTCATTCAATTATGGAAATAATCTGCAGCACTCCATCTTATCTTTCTTTCCAAAAATCCATCGTACTGGCATGTAATAAAATGAAGACACGCCTACGCATCCGTCGATCTAGGATAATTAATCTCTGGAAGTACTTTAATCAGAACACGCTTAAACAAGCAGCCCATTAATGCACAATGGCCAAGATAAAAGAGGCTCCTTGTAAAGGCAGATAGTTGATTGAATAGTATTGTCTTATCTAAAGGCAGTAAACACAGAGTTTTAGGTGACATCGGGCAAGTGCTGTCTTCATTGCCTACTTACAATTGGCTCCCATTTCACACCTTAATGGGATCGCTGTTTGCTTCTACACTGAAGACAAGATGAAAGGGGTCCTCTGTCCCATAAGATAGTGAAAGGGATTTGGAGCACTTGCTCGATGTCACCTAATATGGCTTTATCTTTGAGACAAAAGAAGTCAGCAACACCGGGTATTCCCACCCCGGTCACTCATGCAAGAACTAACCCGGCCCAACGTAGTCTAATTTCAGTCATCGGACGAGAACCGGTGCTTTCTACGTGGCAGGAGTGTGCGATAGACTTAACCCCACATGATGCACCCTGGGCAACGTATACTCATACGGCAAAAGTCTATTAACCGGCACTTGACTTCTGACTTCAAACTACCATGGCCCCACTGTATGTCATATTTGACTACTTCCACAGTACTCACCTCACCTTTTTACTACCTTTGTGTCTGTCTCTTTTACATCTTTGAAACACTCTTCTGTTTCCCCCCCCCCTCTCGACTTTTTCACTTTGATGTTCCTTCCCCTCTGTGGAGGCTGGAGTCAAAACGCCTGCAATGTGATATAAATAACTGTCACCTTTTATTATGTAATATTTATTCACCTTGCTGCATTCGCATGCGATCTCCTTCATTCTATCCGTCAAGCATCCCTACAAATCTCACTCTATTTGAGCACACATTTTAGTCCATATGTCTAGAATACCGTTCTATGGTAGTACCCATCTTTATTTTTAAATGACAACACATTAATATCCTATGATTGCCGCTGTTAATGACTCACCATTAAACTGCCATTCTTTCAGCCAATCTTACCTAAACCCATAATAAATAGATTGAATGATCCCTTCAACTATCACTAAATAAGAATTAATCTGAAAAATAGGTTGACACAAATCCGGTTTGAAGCTACGCACTAAGAGGAGTTAATTTCCCAAGTATTCTGCCAGTGAAGAGGGACAAAAAGGCCTTTGTCAGAAGCTCAAGAAGGCGACAACTTTTCCTTGGGTCTGAGAACGTGGTCAAATACTACTTTACGATGAACAATTCCTGTTCATTTTTCGATCAATTGCACTACTAAATAGAAATATTCAGCAGGCAACTACTTTGGAATCTGAAAATCTTCTTGCCAGATTAGAAAATATTGCTATTAATTTTACTATATGATTGGTTGACTTGGAACTTATTCATTTCAAAGTAATTAAGCGTTATTAATAAAGTTCTTTAATTTTTCAAGACTGAATTACATAGGCTGTTTACTCTAATAAGTAAGAGGACGATCATGCCACTGCAATCTGTACTCATCCGTCTCAATCCTCACTACCGGTTTGCAATTTTCAGACAGTTTCTTAAAACTTGTCCAATTTTCAGTTCAAAGCGTACCTTTTATAAAACAAACACTGATATAAATAGATGCAGTTTGAAATGTGTATGATTCATTTTCATCATCAGTACAAATGGCGGCTAAATTTCAAATGTGCCGAAAATACTGAAATACATCCGAAAAAAGTGTTAAAATTACTTTGAAGACGATCTAATTAAAATACGTCTAGTTTTAAATAATAAATAACTGTTGAAATTCACAGTTTGTCTCTCTTAAGCTGATGCTCCCGCAATTTGATACGAGCATCGACTTCTTCTTCAATGTCTTCAAGCAAAATTGAAGCGTCAGATCCACCCATAGCACAAGTGTCACTTGAAGAGACACTTCGACGACGCCTATTCAGAGGTTCATCAAAGTAGACACCAGTGTCACTGTATAATCCTAGAGGAGTACCACTTGGTGATGGGCATTCCTTCCAGAGTACAAGATTCAATTTTGGAATCTGAGAGCAGGGGATTAGATCTTTTCGACTCTTTGGTCGTACAAAGGCATCCATCTGCGCCTCCGTGATATTATCACCGTTTTCACAAATTACTCTTGATAGGGAACTACCAGCCTCTCGTAACTCTGCAAGTTGAGCCGTTGTGAAAAGACCTGGTGACTCATACCAAAGCCGGTCACCTGCACGAAGTCTTTTGAACTGATCAGCAATGATACAAGCGAATGTTGGACCCATTCTTGCTCCTGGCATAACGTCTTCTAAAATACCTCCTACAAATAAATCGATATTTCCTGGATGACCGTAAACAGCACGAAGCTCCTCACGAATAGCTGGATCTCTGATTCTCTCAGCCAGATCATCAAATGAATCGGGTGCTTCAGAGCTTCCAAGACCACAAATCTTGTAGGCATAAGCTGTGTAATGTTGGAGACCATGATCACGTCCACGTTGAATATTCAGTGATGCCAAATCTAGAGCCAACTGATTCGCCATGGCAAAGAGTCTTTCGGTAAGCTCAGGATTTAATGATGGTCTACGAAGTATATCTCGAACACCGTGGAACATAAGACCACGAAGAATGGGATCCATTCCTCCATCAGTAAGCATCTTATCAGGAGCGAAGAATGCCTTGTGTAGAAGAAGGTGGCCCTCAGGAATAGCTTCCCAGTTTTCATTTAAGCGGAAGAGGATTGGTGAAACGAGGGTATGACCAAATCTAAAAGCGGCAGTAGCGAATTCATTGCTAATTGTAGGATTAATAGAGCTGTCGTATCCAGTATAACTATCACCACCCATCATTTCCATTCCTCTTGGACCCAGGATTTTAGGAAGCCAGGAACGGTAGGTAATTGATTGCATCAAAGCTCCAACAATCTTACGTGCCTCATGATATAAGCGATCTCCAGACCAGTGTGGGTTTAGAGAGCGCAGTTCTTCGGCAATGCGATTGTGCTCACGTACCCAAATTGTATGCATGCTCAAGAGACCAAGATTTTCATTGGCTCTGTGATCTCCAGCTTTGAAACAAGGAACAAAGTCTTGCTGTGGATCGGCCATGCAGTCAACCTGACACGAGGAAACACATGTTTCGATAAGTTCTTTGCAAACAGTTATTAAATAGTAAAGGAAAAAAGCATAATAATAATGGTGACAAGGGGTGAGCGATAGACTTACCTCCACGTGGTGCACCATGGGCAACGTATACTCACACGGCAAAAAAGTCTATAAACCGGCAGTTGACTTCTGAGTTCAAGCTATCATAACCCCACTGTATGTCATATTCCACCACTTCCACAGTACTCACCTCACCTTTTCTCTGCCTTTGTGTCTGTCTGCCTCTTTTACATCTTTGAAACACTCTTCTGTTCCC